ATACTAAATAAATAAAAATAAGTGATGGTAGATCAATTCAATCGCTAATGTAAACAGTTCAAATGCAAACCCGGAGGAGGTAGGGGAAGGGGAGAGACCCGAAGAGCTGCCATCACTGCCTTGGCTAACCCTGGGCAAGCCTGGGGAGAGCAAGGATTTAGAGTTTGGCATAAAACCCATGTGCAGAGCGGCACGGGAGGGCCAGACCCTGGGCGCCAGTCTGGTTGCCGTGTTAGGCATAGGCTATGTTGCTCTTCAGAAAGATGAAAATCATGGTGTCGGGTGTTTAATTTTATTTTGAGGCTGGAAAACAGTTAATAGACTGAGGGCATAATTTCTTGGGGGGGGACGGGGAGGAAGGAGGTAGTTTTTCTCCATCACCTCCCAGAGTTTAGCTCAAGGTCATCTCGTCTTGACGCAACACATGGAGCTCGGGAGGAGGCAGAGAGTTGGAGGAAGGGAGGGGGATAAAAGGGCTTCTGAGTCGATCCTCCCAGCGTGGTCAGTGATAAGGGGTGGGGGGGACGCTGGATGGTTGCCACCACGTCCTTATAACCTAACGTGCAACCTTTTTCTTGGGCATCACTAGAGTGTGCCCAAGGCGCTGGGGTGACAGGAGAAACTGGAAATCTTGGTAAAGGGGGGGTGTGGAGCAGTGAGAAGGGGTGGTGAGCTCTGTTTGGGATTATTTTCCTCTATTTTTTTGCCACCGCTACGGTGGCCAAGGCAGAGAGGGGAGGGAGCATTACTGATAGCGGGTCACAGATAAGATAAAGCCCGTGGCTGCCCTGGCATCCAGCATTCGCGGCCCGGGGTGGAAAATGTGAGGAAAGAAGTACATTTGGACAAGGGGTATCATATCACTCAGGAGACAAACTTGGACGCTTTCCATCTGTGTCTGCTGGAGACTTTACCCACCGGCTGTAGTCAAAGGTGTAAAAAAAAAAAAAAGAAAGAAAGAAAAAAAAAGTCTTATTGTTTGTTTCGCTGAAAATTATCTCAGCTGCATTAAAAAAAGGGCTTTTATTAAGACTGCTACTCTCTAAATACCATTCATAAAACAGTGACGGGAGAATATGATGGAAAGTTACATTTTTCTCTCTGTCACTTTGATTTCTTTGTTACTGCTAAAACGGCTGCTCTGACTCATATTTTGCATAGTTATTTTTACCTTTTCAAATGTTCCTTAACTGTTCGTATTACCCTGGGCAAATCCCCCAGGGATAATTTTCATTTGCATGCAGACTTTGATGGTGTTATTAAGCAATCACTTTCTGTACTAAGTCATTATTAAAAGTAATACCACAGAGCCTCAAAAACACATTAATGGTGCCAAACAATCCCCATTTCAGCTCGAGATTTATGGGAAGGGAAAAAAGCACTCGGTCTCATACCGTTTGGTGGATGCTGCTCTGTGGTGCTGTGGCGGCAGCCGACGTGATGAGAAAATACCAGAGCCAGATTTAGAGTCCCTTATCTGTTCTCCACCTTATTCTTTCAAATAGTAATTATTCCTCTTTTTTTTTTTTTTTTTTTTTAACCTGCCTGCTTCCTACTTCCCCCACACACACACCCCCTACTCCTTTCCCCCCTTGGTTTTGCACCTTTTCCTCTGGCCTTGGCAAGAAAACCAGTCTGCAGCCTTCCCAGTATACACGAGCGGGGCTGGTTCTGGGAAGGAGGGTCAGCCTTCCCATCTGTAATCACCGTTTTATGGCTTTCACTCGAGGTGTTAATGCAGATCAAATGGAAAACACTCCAGCCGGAGCGTTACAGCTTCTCGCGCTGCCCCGCGTACGGTCCCAATCGTTAATTCTGATTATAAGACCTAAAGGTAATTCTGTTTGCTCTCCTAATGCATTGCAGCTCTCCCGGTGGTCCCCACGTTCTCTTTTTCCTCCGGTTCCCATCTTGATCAATTGTTTGCAAATAATTAAGCTTTTAAGAGATAATGGTAGGAGCTAATGTACACAACAAAGTAAAGGTCTCAAGTCACTGTTTATTGAACGGTGGTACAATTTGCTTTGATATCCCAAAGTGAGCCAGAGTGATGGGTGGACTTACCAACTGGAGTCAGTGTGGTGTTTTCAGACACACACTTCTATATATATTTATATATATAGATATCTCTATATATTTCATAGACTCAGAATATCTCAAGTTGGAAGGGACCCATAAGGATCATCAAGTCCAACTCCCTGCTCCTCATGGGACTAAGCCATTTGACTAAGACATATATACATTTTTATATAATTTTTAGATATTTTATGCATATGCACGCAAATACAATATGCATTTATCTGCAAAAATATATAAACATGTCTCTGTGCATGTGTTTTTATCCCTTTAAAGAACCATTAGAAATCTTTCGGAAGGCACCTGTCGTACTCGTGCGGGTGAAAAAAGACCACCAGCACCCGTTTTTGACTGAATTTCTTCATAAAATGGCAATTCTCAGGGTTTCCCCACTTTTCTCTCTCTCTCTCTCTCTTGCAATGCGATGTCTGCCTTTGCCCATAGCCTGGGCTTTCCTAGCCCTGTGGGTGGGAACGCAACAAGGCTTTGAATGTTTTTATAGCAACCTAGCCTGTGGCATGCTGATTCTTTGTCAAGTAATTTATTTTTATTATTTTTTTTTATTATTTTTTTTTAAGCCTACAAAGGAACAAGTTGTACGAGCCACGGAAAGCTTCTATAATAAGGATGCCCAGTGTTTAAGATTATTTTAAACCGCACCGAGTCATAGTGAAAAAAGAGGGATTAGCTACGTGAAGTCCTGGCTGTCATGTGATTATGGCAATTATAGATTTATCATGAAATTAAAAGTTTATGCTGTGCTAGGCTATGAAAAAAAAATAATCAGATGACCTTAAGCATAGCACAGTTTGAGGACTTTGGGGTTTGGGACTTTTAAAAGCACTTATCTTTACAGGGACTGGATTATTCTGATGGCTAATTTTATCCAGTCTTGTCTATTTGGAAAAAAAATCCAGAACAATTGAAAATTGCTTAATGGAGACAGAGTTCTCAATTCCAATAGCTAGAGACTGTCTAGTAATTATTGCTTGCTGCATGAAATTAGACACAGTTTGTTCAATTACTTAAAACTAGATCACATGTAAGGTGGCAAAGTGAAATAAAGGGGGAAAAAAAAAAAAGAATAATTTTGCCCTTGCTTGATAGCAAAGTAATGAAATGGGTAGTAAGTTATAAAGGTGAAAATGTTACAAATCGTCTCTGTAGGGTTTTTTTGTTTTGAAGAGAAGCAAAAGGTGTTGAGATAGATGGATGTAAGTCAAGTACGAGTTTTTGTTGTGGATGAATGTGTGTACAAGACGGACTATAAAAGTCGTTCTGCGTGTATAAAATTCAAATTACTCTAAGAAAAATAATTTAAAAAAAGAAGTAAAATCCCCTTCCCTCTGTCTTCCACTTTGGAGCAGTTTCACCTATGTGCAGAAAATACAGGGGGTAGTTTAGAGGTGTGCAGGTTGTCTGTGGGCTCACCTTCAAGCAACAGGATTTTTAAAAGAATGGGAAGTTCCCCCATTTTGAGGGGGAAAAGATATCTTTTGGGGCTGATGGCCACAGCGGTGGGCTTTGAAATGGGCACGTTGGGCAAAGGGAAGTTGCCAGGGTTAGAACAAAAATGCCTATTTTCGGTAAGGTGAGGTGAGGCAGGCATGTAACATTAGATGTCAGATTATGCTGTTTACAGGAATATATAAAATCCGTTAAATAGTTACGATCCCAATAAGATTGCTGAATTTTATGAGGTTTTAAATTCTTACGCTTTACAAGGTTTCACTTTACATCTTGTGTAATATTACACCGAATGCATTCGCAGAATATGGGAATGTTTCAAGGGGGGGGGGAAATGAAATGGATGTGTGTATAACAGCAAATAGTTTGTGACAAGTGGCTGCTAAATGGGATGTGGGGATAGGTCTCACCAGGTATATCAAATTATCTTTATTGAAATGTTATTAAATACTTTGCAGCAGTCCAGGTCTGAACCTGATGTGTGCTGAGGCTTGGGTGTCCAGGTTAGGAGCCAAGTCAGATCCTCAAAACAGGGTTTTTCCTAGGAAATTGCAATGTTTGGCCATTTCCTTTTGGGACGACAGTGACTTTTTTTACACCTAAGGAAAGAAAGAAATGATATTTCTGAATTTCAACCTTGGATGTGGTCTTTGCTGTTGATTTATTAAGCAATCTCTATTCATGCAGAAGCGAATTTTCTGAGAAAGCAATCAAGTTCTCACAAGAAACCGAACTTCGGATTGAATTTTAACATTATCTTCAATTAAAGCAGTATTTATTCTCTGTCTCTTAGGATTAGTGCAGCACAGCTATGTTAATGTCAGGCAAAAATGTGCTGATCATTGACCTTGCGTTGGCCTGTGTTCAAAACCCGGGCGTTTGTTTACGTTCAGGATGCTGATCTTATTTGCAAATTATTTTGGGGCACGGGCAAGATTTGTCTTCACCAGCTCAGAAAACATTGTCCTGTTTTAGTTTCGCAGAGAAGCGCTTTATCGCATTCAGGAATTGTTCTGTGAAATACAGAAAAAAAAAAAACAAAACAACCCCAAAACCAAAAAAAAAACCCAAACCAGCTGTGATTTGACTCTAATCGGTCATTTGAGACAAGTGCAAAAACTTTCAGCTAATGCAACAAATATCCTTCTTGAGTATCAAGGTACTGCCAGTATCCTAAGCAGTTATTTCTCCACTTCACTAATCTTTATAATTGGCTTGTCTTTTACTGCCATTAATTAAGTGATGTAGTAGCCCATTAATAATTATAAAAGAGTGACACACCTCAGCATTTTCACCTTTCAATAATGGATGTCACGCTCCTGGTTTGGGGTTGGTTTTTGTGGGGTTTTTTTGTAATGTTTTTCATTTGTTTGGGTATTTTTTAATTTAAAGTAAAAAGTAGGCCAAAAAAAAAAGCATTGTGTTAAATCTATATATTTATTTTTGGTGTCTTATAGCACCCTTACCCTTCAGAAGAACAGAAAAAGCAGTTGGCACAAGACACAGGGCTCACTATACTTCAAGTGAACAATTGGTAAGTAATTTTCCTCGGTGTTTCTCTCCGGCCGCTGGTACCCTCCGGCGAACGCTTCGCATTTTTGAGGACACACCTTTGCCTTTGTCTCCTTCCCCCTCCAGCAGTTTATCGATGCAAAAAGCATGGAGTGGTTTCAGTTATGGGAACGGGGAGGTTTGCTGCTGCGGGAAATGAGCCGTATTTATTTTCCCCATCGCTTGGGCAGATTTCGGTACGGTTCACCTTTGGGTATACCAGTGCTCCTTCTGGCTGAGAATGTGTCTTCTTCAATAGGAAGCCAACCCTCCATTTGGAGAACTTCAGTCGGGGAAGAGGTTGAGCTGTGGGGTGGAAAAAGGGGGCAGTTGGCCCAGTTTCTGCAGAGTGTAATGTTATTTTGGGCTGCTGTCGTGCTTTTTTTCAGTGTTGTTAGCGGGGTTTTCCTTGTTGACTGACATCCTTCTATCTCTGTACTGGTTCGTTTTAAAAGTCCAGTTTTTGAAAGCTTGAACACGCTTTGAGGACAATCTGGGTTGTTTTGCTGCTGAAGTACGGCGTGGAGCAATTGTATTTATTTATTCCAGCTAAGGGTGGCTGGAGCCCCTGATCTGTTGTGGTGGTGATTTGTTTCAAGGAAATCAGGAAATCTGCTGTTTCTGCAGTGGATTTCAGGTTGCTAACTGTCCGGAACGTGGCGAAGGCAACCAGTGAAAATTACTCATGATTTAAGTATAAAAACACAACAGTGAACCCTTAAAAAAAAAAAAAAAAGTTTGATTTATTACCCTTTGTTACTGCATCGAAATGCAGGTTTCTCCCGCTATCCCAGAATAAGTGTCGCATTTGAAGTGTATTGCAATCTAATACCTTGTAAAACTAAGTGTATCTAATTAATTGTCCTAATATTTTTAGATTAGTGTTTATGATGGGAAACCTTATCCTCTTTGAAGTAATACCCAGAAAATGGCCAAGGCAAACAGCGAGCCTGCTGGGGAAAAGGGAGGGAGGAATGCCAGTTTGCAGACAAAAGTATTTTTTTCCCGTTCAATAAGTGTCAGAGATTAATATTACTGAAGCTCTGATTACATGGCCTAATCCATTTTAGTGAATAAATTTGGTCTTGATGTCCATTGCACCTACATTAACAAACCCTCCTCTCTTAGAGAGAGTAGGAGCCTATGGGAGAGATTTCAGATATATTAAACCCCATTACAGAAAATGTAATTTCTGTCAATATAATCCCATGTATTCTTCAATTTAGTACTTTAGAGATAACAAGCTACTTACAATATATTTGCCTTTGGAGGATTAATTTACAAAGTGCACTATCTGGGAGACGCAGGCGGGCTCACATAAGCATAGCTTGTAAGGGTTATCAATTTCTGTGACCCCACAGCAGCCCTGGGAGATCAATTTTTTGAAGCCCTTTAAGACACTGAATAAAGGAAAATGCCAAATACTTAGTGTATGTAAAGTATGCTTCCAAGATACCCTACTTTAGAACGGGGGAATAAAAGGCACTAAACGTAAAATACATCTTCTAAGGAAACATAACCTCGGGTATTTTGGCTCAGCCTGGAAAAATTAGTATTTGCTTCAGCTTTAGGTCCTCCAACCTTCATCCAGGCGATAACCTAATTGATATGGTTGTCCTCCAGTTTGATGATGGGCGCTTTGGCCAGTTGAGAAGCTGTGTGATGTTCATCAGGGGTCTTATTTAATGATGGGTGGAGCAAGCCTGTGCTGCTTTGGAGGGATCTGGGGGCTGAGGATTCAGCATGGGCAAATTCCATGGATGGTGGTCCATCAGGGAACTTCGAGATGATGAACATGGGATGCTTTGAACTAAAGCTGGTGGGATTTCTCCTGAGTGGCTTGGCAGGGTGTTTTTCAGTACCCACCTCGCCTCAGATTCGTGGAGTTTTAACTTTGGCTTGGTGTCAGATGTGTTTTTATAAGTTCCTTATGTGCAAGGGGAAGAAGAAAAAAAAAAAAGTAGGTCAAAATACATTATAACTGAAGTCTCGTGGATGTAGGGCAGGCTTCCTCTGCTTGAGCTAGTTTGGTAATTCTGCTGTAGTGTTACAATTGTATAAATTATTGAGATAATTCCCCTTCCCTCCCCAGCCCCATGGAGATTTAACGCTATAGAGGCAGTCGGAGCTTTCTTAAATCACAGGTGGTGGGCAGAGATGCCAAAATATTGGGAGTTCAGCCCCTGGTTTTTGTAATGGATACTGAGCGTGCGGGTTGCATCCCATGCATCTTTGGGAGACATCTAGCCGTGGGTGACCAACCCTCCTGAATCCTGGGGGTCACAGGGCAACCTTCTCCCCACCTTTTTGCCAAATCCTCTATTTTTTCTAAGGCTTGGGAAGAATTTCTTGCCTAAATTGTTTGCTGCGGGGAAGAGCTAACGTATCCTTTCTGGTAAGCTTTGCCTTTCTTCAGCGGGCTCATAAGTCATTCAGCCACGACTTGCAAAAAAATTTTGCCTTCTTCCTTAGATTCTTCCAAACTTGTTAACACACATGTACATTTTTGTATTAATGATGAGTCATTGTAAATCACTGTTGCAGAGATTAAATGAAATGCTGAAGGGCAGGCTGGGTGCAGATCAGTCATAAATTATTGGCAGCAACACAGCATGTGGGAATACATGAAATGTGCATGAAAAACATAAACTCATGTCTGGTAGCATGGTCGTTAGCCCAGACTGGGAATGCTGGATTTTCTGGATGGAATTAGAAGTTTGCCACAGAGCAGCCAGTGAAGAGAGCATTTGTTTTCTGCAGATTGAAAGCATTTGAACAATTTTTTTTGTCATATTTTGAATGCCTTTACAGTATGTGCTGGTTGCATACTTCAGTTCTCTGCCGTAACGGGGAAAAAATGGTGCTTTTCACATCGGGTCTGCCCGGTGTTCGGGCTCCCCGGGTTGATGCACACAACTCCTATTGACGGTGGAGGAGTCACAGGAATGGGGTGATGAAGTGAGACGTGCCAGGAAATGTATCAGTGGTAGGGCACATGTCTTTAAAAATACCACAGTTTGAACTTGACCCTTTTCCTTGGGCTGTTTAATTTTTTTAAAGTAATGAAGTAATCCATGCGGAGGGTTTTTCCCCACCCCCTTTTTTTTTTTTTTGCATTGCTTTTCAGGACCATCTTTTTGCCACAGTTGGATGTTTCTGTTGTGCGAAGAGGGAACCTTGTGGTGAAAAAAAATAATCAAAAGTCTGTGGCAGGTAGGAAGGTGGCAGAGTTCAAGATGTCCTTAGTCTAAATGGACTCTTCAGGTCTCCCTCTTTGTTAGTCATTTAACCCCGCAGAAGTTTAGGGTTTGAAGGAGGGTTACGTGAGCAAGAAGGGTCACTTGTGTGATCTTGGCAGCGTTGTATAGATGGACGTGGAAGGGACCTGACCCAGTGCAGGTTAATAAGGTGCTTTTCCCCGGTGATTTAAATATCCAGGAGGTGTGATCCAATTCCTCCTTAACCTCAGCTGAGAGTCAGCCAGGCTGTATCGAACCATCTATACCGTTTGCTCGTTTGCTACATCCCAGCTGAATCTCTTCCCGTTAAGAACTAATGGTAAATAATTACTGGTGGGACTCTATGGAGAAGAGAGAGCAATTCTCATCAAGGGCTGCATTAGGTGTCAGATGCTTGTTTATGTTTTAGGCAGGTCTAGGTACACACAGATAAATGCCTGTGTGTTTGTAGAATAATCTGACTATATGACCTCCCTATACGTACATGGCTATCTAAATAGTGCTGTGTACCACTGCATTAAAATGCTCTTAAAATAAAATAATAATAATAAAAAAAAAGATTAAGTATGAAAATTCAGCTCCTCAAATCCCCAGCCTTTTATTAGGTGTTTCCATTTGGCTTTTTTTCCAAAATACCCTCATGGTATCTAGGCCACAGACCAGACAATGATGGAGCAGCTAGTCAATATTTTATCTTACCCTCATTCTTCAGTGCTTCGTTTGTTGAGCTGTATTCAAACCGTGCTTGAAAATGGAATTAATAATTACTGCTGGGCTTTCCTGTGATGCTTACTGCTGCGATACCCAAGTCCTCCCCTGACAGTAAGTTCTCCATGTTTAAGGTCCAGCCACCACCGAAACTCCCAAGTTTCAGTGGAAACTCTGAGTTTTGAGGTCACCCACCAGTGTTGGGTACGGAGGAGAGGTGAGAAATCAATAACTGCTGGGGAAAAGTTTGGGTTTGATTTACTCAGTAGTTCCCAAGCCATCCAAGGCAGCAGCAGAGCTGAATCCTCTTCTCCAGCACAGCGTCCAGCTGCTTCAGCCACGACTGCTTCTCTTTTCTTACCATTTTCTGCCTTGCTTGTTCAACTTTGACAAAGTTTATTTCCTGTAGAAATCAATTTTTCTACGTTATAGTGCCCTGGCTTGTTCTTATAACACACGTAATCATCATTGGGGTGGTTGAGGCATTGGGCCCTATCAAAAATCGTGCCATGAGCTGGTAACTGAACTGTTGCCATATAAAGTAGATTAAAAAATAGGGTACAAACAGCTCTAGTGATACGCTTTCCTAATTTTTCAGTTCTTGGTTTTATGACCTTGGCTTCTTTAAATGTCAATTTTGTGTATAATTTCCTAGGCTTGGAAAAAAAAAAAAAAAAAAGACCAAATCCCAACCAAACACACTGGAAAAAATGATCAAATAAGGTAAATTTCCCTAATCTCATTCTTGGAGACAGACGAAGCTATTTTTGCTAAAACTTTATAAGGAAGAAATTTTAAAAAGGCTCCGAGGCCAGCCTGAAGACGGGTTTGAAAAATCTGCGATGGGTTTGCAATAGAAATACCAAACCACCTTGGTGCATGTAGCACAGCCAGCTCAGGGCAGAGACACTCAGAAATTCTTCATTGCTCTTTTAGCCCCATCACAACTCCCCTCTGGCAGGAGATGTTCTCCTGTCTCCATTCCTTTGCTGGTGGGTAGGCGTAGTGGTAGACCTTTGCTGCGGTGGTGGCATGG